TCTCTTATTTCTAAAACCTAAGTATAAAAAGGACGACTTAGGTGCTTCTGTCCCCATCTCTCATCTATGATGGTGGAAAAGAGTCAGTAGAACTGAAACAAACACCCTCATTAGAAAGGGTAAGAATGGGAAGTTCTTTACTGTCACTAGTTCATAGAGATTCTGAAATTCCTTTGGGAAAATGTGGTAAGGCCTCTTATTTGGGGAGGTAGCAGGTATTTTTTTTATTAGACTCTTGTCATGGTTCCTGGGAGTTTTTCATGTCAATTGTTCTCCTTGACTCTCAACTTTATCCTTGACTCTCAATATTGATGTCAAGGATATTGATGTCAATATCAGCCTTCATATTCCATCACTTTCCTCAGCCAGATCCAAAGCAAGGCTTCTCAGTTTGCTTTCTGCCAATAAAATGTTTGCAGCCCAGCTGTATTGAACAGTTAAAATCTCTTCGTTAATGAACAGTCACAGTATCTTTTAATACAGGCTGTTGGAACTTTTGGAAATGAAATCAAAACACTAGAAAATGATTCCAGCCAGTTCAGTAGTCCACACGTGTAGTCCTAGCTATGTGGAAGGATAGTTTGGGACTGCCAGTTCAAGTCCAGCCTGGGCAACATAGAAAAGACTGTGTCTACAAAAAATTTATAAAAGAAAATTAGCTGGACATGGTAGCTCATTGATGTAGTCCCAGCTACTTGGGAAGCTGATGTAGGTGGAGCCCTGGAGGTCTAGGCTGCAGTCACTGCACTCCAGCCTGGGAGAGAAATCAAGACTGTCTCAAAAAAGAAAAAAAGATTTAATTTTCTTTCAGAGACTTGACGCTAAATGCATAATGATAAGTTATTTGAGCTTATTGGGATTCTGTTGTATTTTGCCTTAGTCTTAGTTACTGAGCCATTTTGTCCAATTGAAACGGTTTATAGAGAGCCATGTTAATTCAATCAGAGTTCTCAACAAAGTTGTGATAGCCAAGACTTTGATTGAATGTTTGATCCCAAACTGTGCTTTAATCTCCACAGTCTTATCCCTGTGGTCATGTGCAAATTTGAAAATGTTTTACCATCTGGAGATGAGCAATAGCTGTAACTTTCAACCCTTCAATTCCTGAAATTTCTGGATTGTTATTTTTTACTTTACCTCTGCAATAACTTGAAAAAATATATCTAATAAACTTGTGACTCGGATAGAGAAGTTTTTAATCAAAGCATGCCTCTAGAAAGAATTTAGGTCATGTTATAAGTTTTACGTGTGTGTGTGTATTTACATATGGAATATATTTTTACTTACATTTAAATTTTACTTTTATGAAATTGTATTATATTTATATTAACAATTTAATCTCCTTGGTAGTTATGCTCACTTTTTATTGCTAACAATACTTATTCATGATTTTTCTTCTTTTTCCTTAATCTTGCTAGAAGCCTGTCAATGTTATTAATCGTTCCTAAATACCAACTTTGCTTTTGTGACATCTCTCTAGTATAGCTTTGCTTTCTATTTCATTAATTTTTGTGCCTATTTTTACAATTTTATTTCTTTAACTTTCTTTGGCTTAATTCCTTTGTTCCTTTAATATCTTACTTCTTAAGTTGGATGCTTTCATTCAGCTTTTTGTTTTTACTACTACATGCATCTAGCCTATAAATTTTCCTCTATGACCAATTTTAGCTGAATCTAATACTATAATATGCAGTTTTAAAAGTTGTTTTTTCTAATATTCATTATGGTTTTTTCTTCAATCTATGAATCATTTAGAAGTATATTTAAATGTACAAGCACAGGCTGAGTAACCCATATCTGATATGTTTGAGACCAGAAGTATTTCTGATTTCATATTTTTTTAAAGTTTGGATTATTGCATATAAATAACACAATATCTTGAGGATATGACATGAATCTAAAGATGAAATTCATTTATGTTTCAGATACACTTTACATACATAGCCAAGATAATTTTATATAACATTTTAAATAATTTTTTGCATAAAACAAAGTTTTAACCCATCACATGAAGTCAGATTTAGAATTTGTCACTAGTGGTGACATATTAGTGCTCAAAAAGTTTTGAATTTTGAGACATTCTAGATTTTGGATTTTTAGATCATGAATGTTCAATCTGTATGTGTGTTTTTAAATTGGTTTATATATCAATTGTGTTATTCAGAGAATATGTGTGTTAGTTAATTATGTTGAATCTTGATTTGTAGCAAAGTACAAAAAAGACCAGCTTATATTTGCAGCAAATATAAGCTGCCCTTTCAGGTTGGGTTCAAAAAACAGAATAATTTTTTATAAATGTTTCATGTGAGATTATAAATAGTAAGCATCCACAAAAAGACTGGTATAAAATGTTTATATCCATTTACTTTTAACAGCCCCAAACTGGAAATAGCTCATCAATTGAAAAATGGATAAAGAGTTTATTATTCATACAATGGAACACTATTCAATAACACTTAACAATAACAAGGCATGGCATATAATTCATGCAATAATGTGAATGAATCTCAAAACATTATGCTGAAAGAAGCCTTACATAAGAGTATATAAAAAGTGCAAAAGAATAGGATTCCATTCATATGAGGTTCTAGAACTGGCAAAACTACTCTATTGTGGAAAAAGAATCAGGTTGCAATTGAGTGGGGACTGACTAGGAAAGGGCATGATAGAACTTTCTAGGGGCATGGTAATGTTCCACATCTTGATAAGGGTTTAACTGAAAACTGTAGAAACTCATCAAAGTGTACATTTAAGGTTAATACATTTTTTATATTTTTTAATGTCTGAAAATGTCTTTTTGTACTGTCATTTTTGAAGGTTATTTAACTAAGTATACAATTTTGTGTTAATGGTTGGCTTGCACCCAGCACTTTGGAGATACTTTTCCACTGTTTTAGGGCTTCCATTGCTATTGTCAAGAGTCCTCTGTGGCTTTAATTATGGTACTTCTGTAGAATCAGTTTGGCTGCTTTTATTATCTTCTCTTTATCTTAGAGGTTTGTTCATTCAGTGTAGGGGGATCTAAGTGAACATTTCTTTTCATTTATTCTGTTGATAGTCTACAGGCTCTCAAATCTGACTCTGGTATCTTTCATCTATTTTAGAAAATGCTCAGCCATTGGGCCTTGGAAGACTATCTCTCCCACTTTTCAATATTAGTTCTTCTCAGTACTCTAGTTAGATATCATGATACACTGTCTTACTCCATCCTCCACTCTGTCTCTGCTACATCCTGGACAATATCTTCTAAACTGTCCCACAGTTCTTTAATCTCTTTTCAGCCATACTAAATCCATTGTTTAATTGTTAATTAGAAATGGTCTTCAATATCAGTTGCTATATTTTTAACTTTGAGAATTTCTTTCTTTCGTTCTTTCTTTGAGACAGAGCTTTGCTCTTGTTGCCCAGGCTGGAGTGCAGTGGCATGATATTGGCTCATAGCAACCTCTGCCTCCCAGCTTCAAGCGATTCTTCTCCCTCAGTCTCCCAAGTAGCTGGAATTACAGGTGCCCACCACCATGCCCAGCTATTTTTTTGTATTTTTAGTAGAGACAGGGTTTCACCATGTTGGGCAGGTTGGTCTCAAACTCCTGGCCTCAGGTGATCCACCCTCCTCAACCTCCCAAAGTGCTGGAATTACAGGCATGAGCCACCGTGCCTGGCCTTTGTTTTTGTTTTTAAATCTGTTTGGTTATTTTTTGAGAAACTGTTACTACTTTGTTATATTTTTTTCACCTTTTAAAAATTTCTTTACACATAAAAAATAAATTTATTTTATATTGTGTATATGATAATCTCAATGTCTATGGTCTTTAGGTGTCTGATTATGCTGGTTTTTTTCATGCTTTTACTCATGTATTTGTCTCCTCAGATGTGTTGTAATTTTTGTTTATCAATTAATGTTTCTCGAAATTTGGTTTTACATCTAGGTTAAAATGTCTTTAATGGAGTATGTGTATTTACTTATGCTTGGTGCCTATAGACACTACTAATCTGGAACAACTTTAAAATAAATTTTCAGTCATTTTCATAAATGTCCTCAAACATGCATAAGTATAGTCTTGTAGTTGACCATTCCCAGGAGATACATTTTTATTTCTCTATTTAGCAAAAACCCAAAGCCAAGAATGGCAATTACTCTCTCTGTCTTCTGTAATGGGATAGGTTTTTCCTAATTCAACTTTCGGAGGACTGAACTTTAAGTGATGTTCTCTGGTGTAACCTTACAGGCTTTGTCTTTCACCTGCCATGTGCTTGGCCCATTAAGTCCAGGCAATGGGTCACCAGGGATTGACAGAAACCTCAGGGGAAATTATACTGACTCTCCTCCCTGGATTTAGACATGTTATGGATGATGTCCTTGCACAAACGGGACTTTGTTGTTCAAAATACAGTAATAACAGTAACTTCTAACCTGATAGTCGTTATTATCATTTGAATATCAAACGATTCCTTTTTCTCTGAATTTTGAGGAAAAAATGCCTTATCTTTAGACATCTAGGGTAACTTGTTACCACTGGCTTCTTCAGTTAGTTTTCTTCACTAAATATCAGACATAGTGTATATGAAAAAATAGCAAAAGAATTTATCTTAGTAATGTATTACTTTCACCGTACCTTTCATTTCATTTGCAAAACCAAATGTTGGCTTGGGAAAGCAGTGACCACCACAATCTCTCCTCATCAAACACACACACACACACACACACACACACACACACACACACCATCAAACTCACTCTCCCAGCCACTAAAAATAAACATAAATCCAATTAAAAACCATGTGCTTGCTCTGCAAACACAGCTTCATGTTAAATCTCTTGGCCTCCCCTTTCAACCAGATTGTCATCCCTAAATATCCTAAGTCTTCCTTTATACAAATTTTGGAGCCTGCACAGTTTTTTTCTGTTTCTGCCTTTAAATTCTCCAAAATCTTGGTTGTTGGATTGGCCTCCACTATTGATTTTGGATCAGTTATTTTTGCTTCCATGGAATCTTAAATCACTGTTCTCTTACATCCACAAACATGAGAATTTTCTTTCAGATTTTCAGTTCTAAAAAGCAGTTTCTTCCACCTCCAGTTCTGCTGTCATTTCACACATCTTACCTACTTCTAAAGAAAGATGTTTCAGTTAGATTCCTTTGTGTCATGTCAAAATTGATTTCCTTCATTTCATATAAAACAACTTTGATTTCACCTCCCTCTTTCCTCAAAACCTAGGGATCACCACTGCAAAAGCTTCACCATCAGAGTGACATAGGGAAGGAGGGTTTTTAACGGGAGCATTCAAGCAAAAAGTAACAGTAAGTACTTTTTTCTTCACTGTATACTACATATTGGTTAAAAACCTCCAAACTTTTGTCCCAGTTACCCAGATTAGTGTTTTGGTCCTTCAAATCTTATGGTCTTAAGGGAGGTGTGTTCATTAAAAGAGAGTGGTATTGACTTCTCTTTCACCTACCCAGAGAATGCGGCTCTCCCACGTGGAAGGAGCAGAGGCAAGAGGAGATAAAGGATTTGGAACTTTGAGCCTCTTTCTTCTGATGCATGCACTGTGCTATTTCTTGTATATTTGTATTGTTTAAAAAAATAAATAATAATTGCTCTTTAAAATAAAAATGCAAATGTGTGAAGTAAAAAAGGTAAGTATCCTTGTTCCTCACCCCTTCTTCCTTCACACCCTGTGGGTAACCCCTGATAACAATCTGCTGTGACATTCTAGCTATCTCTAGTTATCCATCTATCCACTTAATATATTTTAACTCCTCCTCATAACAACTACATGAAGTGGTAATATTATTACCTCATTTTCCAATACAGAAAATGAGGTACTGTATAGGAGATACTTTCCCCAAATCTCAAGCTACTAAGCTTTGGGTCTGGCAATTTTAACTCAGATATATTGACTCCAGTATATGTACTCTTTCTTTACTTTTTAAAATCATCTTTGAAATTTATTGTGAAATTTTGTTCATAAAGATGCATGGCTGTTATTTTTTGGTATATTACATCTTCTCTCAAAATTAAGTATCCTCTATAAGGCCTTTGGCATTAAGCTGCTATTCAGTTGCAATATAGGTTGCATCTAGCATTAATATGTCACATTATTTTCTTCTTGTTGGTGTTTGGCATGGCGCATCTATTTCCATAATGTATCTTTGGCCTGTTGAATAGAATTCTGTCAGCATAAAGGTACATTTCCTTTGTACTCAATCCTAAGAGTTATTTAGTTTTTAGTATAAGTTTTTAATTATTTTTTTATCCCAACCTAAGTGTCACTTAGTTGTTAATGGAGGTGAATTTCCTTTTTATTTCAGTCTAAGAGTCCTTAGTTGTTTATACAGGTTTTGATTCATTCACATTTATTGCCTTATGGATTTATTTTTGAGCATTCTTTAAACATTTTTTTACTTTAAAGTCTTTCTCGTTTCTTTTTGCTTTCTTTCCTATCTGAATTGGATGCATTTTCTTTATTCCATCTTTTAATTGTTTTGATTTCATGTATTCTACTTTCTAGGACTTACTTTAGTAATACTTATAATTTAAGTATGTTGATTTAAAAAGTCAGTCTCTAAAGTTAATCAGTCTCTGTTTAATTTTCCTCATCATATTCCCATCCCTCTTTCTACACCTATTGCGGTTATTTTACAGATCTCCCATCCAAAATTTTGTGTGTGTATAAAGACTGATGACACCACAGACCTACCAACATGCTATGAAAAGGTTTATTATTCACATACTAAAGCTTTCTGGGGGAAAGCAACATGGACTTTTTAGTTGGTTCAATTCTGGCTTGAGACAGGAGGGAAAGGAGACAATCTCAGCCCATGATTGGGGTCAGAGCTGCAGTGAGAGTTCTTGCACACTGGCGGAGGCTTATGTAGTTGCACTTCTGCTGGCACCAAAGGAGGGACAATCGGAGCTTTGTTATCAGCCTGCTCAGATGCGAGGAAGAAGGAAAAGGGGAAATGGTGGGACTGTTGTATCAAAATATCAGAAATGGAGTTACACTCTATTACAATTCATTCCATGTTGAGAGCATTTGGGATTTTAGTTCCAGATTGTTAATTACTTTTTCAATGTATATCAAAACATTTTTTGATTTAAATAGGAGTGTGATTGTTTTCTTTGTTCACTACCCTTTCTTATGTCTAACATTTTATTCTTTCTGGGCTCACGTTTTATTTTACAAGAATACATTTTTCTTCCAAAGTGGTCTAGAATGATAGCTATTTTTGTCTTTCTACTGAATGCTAGTTTTGCTAGATATAGGACTTTTCTACAAAACAGTCTTCTCTCAAAACATAAATCCTATGTCCTCTTCTACTATCCACTTTTGCCAATGAGAACTCAGACTGTAAATCTGATTTGGTGTTTATTTTTATCTCCCCAAAACCCTCTTGAATCTATATTCTTTTTTAAAATTGATAAATAATAATTGTATATATTCATAGGAGACAATGCGTTATTTCAATACATGTGTACATTGTGGAATGAGCATGTCAGACTAATATATCCATTGTCTCACATACTTACAATTTCTTTGAGGTGAGAATATTTAAAATCCACTCTTTCAGTAATTTTGAAATGTATACTACATTATTATTAACTGTAGTCACCTTGCAGTGCAATAGATCACCAGAAATTAGAATTCCTGTCTAACTGAAACTTTGCACCCTTTGACCAACATCTCTCCTTTCCCACTCCGCAGCCCAACCCCAGCCTCTTGTAACCATCATTCTATTCTCTACTTCTATAAATTTGACCTTTTAAGATTTTGCATATAGGTGAGATCTTGAAGTATTTATTGAGATGTTTTATTCTTAGTCTTCTGATCTAAAGTTTCAATCTTTAGGTATTAGGTATATAAAATAATTAATTTATTGTTGTATTTAGGTATATAAAATAATTTATTGTTATTTATTGTTTGGCATTCAATCGGGCCTTTTAGTCTGAAGTCTCAAATTTGTCTTTAATTCTTGTCATAGTGCTCACTCATTTGCTTTTCATCCATGTTAATTCTGCCATTCAGTTCATATACTAACATTTTAATTTTGATAATACTTTTGATTTTCATTGTGATGGTAATATTGAGTGTCAACTTGATTGGATTGAAGGATGCAAAGTATTGTTCCTGGGTGTGTCTGTGAGGGTGTATTCAAAGGATATTAACACTTGAGTCAGTGGACTAGGAGAGGCAGATCCACCCTCAGTCTGGGTTGGTACCATCTAATCAGCTGCCAGCACAGCCAAGATAAAAGCAGGTAGAGGAATGTGGAAGAACTAGACTAAGTCTTCTGGCCTCCATTTTTCTTTCATGCTGAATGCTTCCTGTCCTCAAATATCAGACTCCAAGTTCTTCAGCTTTTGGGCTCTTGGACCTACCCCAATGATTTTCCTGGGGCTCTCAGGCCTTTGGCCGCAGACTGAAGACTGCACTAGCAGTTTCCCTACTTTTGAGGTTTTTGGGTCTCGGACTGTCTTCCTTGCTCCTCAGCTTGCATATGGCCTACTATGGGACTTCATCTTGGGATTGTGTGACTCAATACTCCTTAGTAAACTTTCTATTATATATGCATCTATCCTGTTAGTTCTGCCCTTCTACACACCCTGACTAATACAGACTTTGGTACTGGGAGTCGGGTGCTGCTATAAAGATACCTGAAAATGTGGAAGCAACTTTGGAACTAGTAACAGGCAGGGATTGGAACAGTTTGGAGGGCTCAGAAGAAGACAAGAAGATGTGGGAAAGTTCGGAACTTCCTAGAGACTTGTTGAATGGCTTTGACCAAAATGCTGATTGTGATATGGACATAAAAGTCCAGGCTGAGGTGGTCTTAGATGGAGATGAGGAACTTATTGGTAACTGGAGTAAAGATGACTCTTATGCTTTAGCAAAGTGACTGGAGGCATTTTGCCCCTGCCCTAGATATCTGTGGAACTGTGAGTCCATTAAACCTCTTTCCTATATACCCAGTCTCTGGTATGTCTTTATTAACAGCATGAGAACTGAAAAATACAGTTCTCCTATTCCCTTTTCATATTTGTAACATCATTTGCAATCTCTCTAAGGACATCCAATATCTTTATTTAATGTGCCCCCCAACTTTTTTGCTGATTTTGTTAGCTTTATTTCTTCAAGAGTTAGTTCTTCTATTTATCTCTTCTTTGTTGTTGGGTTTTTGTTTGTTTGTTTCTGACAGAGTCTTGCTTTGTCACCCAGGTTGGAGTACAGTGGTGTGATCTCAACTCAATGCAACCTCCGCCTCCCAGGTTCAAGCGATTCTCATGCCTTAGCCTCCTGAGTAGCTGGGACTATGGGCATGCGATACCAGGCCCAGCTAATTTTTGTATTTTTAGTAGAGATGGGGTTTCATCATGTTGCCCAGGTTGGTCTCTAAATCCAGAGCTCAAGTGATCCACCTGCCTCAACCTCCCAAAGTGCTGAGATTGCAGGCATGAACCTGTTTATTTTTACCGTGTTGTTGGATTTTCTTAAATGTTTGTGAATTTTTGATTATCTCCTCATTTTTCTGTTTGAAAATACCTGTTTGCTTCAATGAGGATCTGGTTTCGATATATAAGCTTAGTTTCTGTGGTGTTTGGGTGTGGATTGAATGTGCTTCAAGATGGGGTACATCTGTAACATGTTTCATGCATGGAGGCTGCCCCATTTTTCCTAATGTGTCAGCTATTAGAAGCATTGTCCTGACTCTAGCTCAAGCACTCACTCCATCTGCACTTCCAGAGGAAGTCTTACCACAACCACTTACCTCTCAAGTGAGGATCAGGGAGAGAAGCCAAACGCCATGTTGTCCCACATGCATTTTCTTGGCTATTAACACTTATATTTATCCCATGGCAGCTTTTGCTCTTTATTTCTCATCATAGCTGTATTTCACTTTGTAGGTATATTTGTAAGCACATATTTTCTCCTATTTTTAGAGGTCTGGGTCCAGACTCTTATCTTGAAAAATCTCCATTGGCCTACATTTTAGCCTTTTACATCTTGGGTTTCCATGTAAGATTTCATTTGAAAACAAGTGAATGAGCCTTTAAAGTGAGCCTTTAAAAATCTCTTCAAACATGACCCTGTATCCATTAATAATTTCACTTCATGAGCAGCATGCTGATAAGTTGTATTATGCTTTGTACATTGCTACATTCTTATTAGTGATGATACTAATGCATGTCAAGTCAACAGTTTCTGAGAGGCAGTTATGAAGAATAAAATTTTCAATTAATACCAGAAGGGGATATAAGTAGACCTAATGATAATGACTTGCATTTATAAAAGGAATTT